CCGTAAAGAGAAGTATAGTGGTGATACAAGAGGAAAAAATCAACCTACACATCAAATAACACCAAAGACTCTGCAAAAATGTGGCGATGGGAGACAAAGTCGACAGCTATGCAAGATGAGGATTGCCCAGATATGGTGAAGATATAAGGAAATGCAGGTCATATATGCTGTGGATATTCTTACTGAAAGAAATCACAGGAAAAGATGTCCGGAAGAAGGAAGAATTTGCGAACAGTTTGCCAATTGCATACTCACAATCGGAAGAGATCAGCAGTCAGCAGAATCAGCATAGAGGAGACGACGCGAGCATGAAACAATAGAATCGCGAGGAAGAGGCTTTCGAGCGAAAACCGGAAATGAAGAGAAAGTGATCACAGTAAACCATTTCCCTTGACTTCGTATGCTTAGGTGGCTTTTCGTATAGGTTACATTCAAGTACTGACGGTGTGGGTCACCTGACAGACCAAAGCTCGGCACGGATTTATAGGAGTCGTAAATTCCAACAGCCTTTGCTCTAAAGCCATCATCGTTCGGTTTCCGATGAGGCTAAATTTAGAAATACACTTCAATTTTCTTCTCCTTCGAAAAGAAAAGTCGAGTTAAATTATACCAAACTCAGCTCTTATTCAGTGTCTCTTTGTTTGCTGGATACTTACTTAGTGTGGAGTCGAAGTCCTTGACACTACCAGTTTTAAAGAGATGTCATATCATGTATCGTTTGTGGGCTTGGGTACTAAGGCAAATATTTGTAAACGCCCATCTAGTGTGTTCGAATTCCTTGTGGTTGAAGCTCCCGTACAAGTTTATCTCTGTTCACCCCAGGTTCCTGACATGGCTTTGCTTCTACAGCTTCTACAACCTGAGACTGGAGCCTTCAGGTTATAACATTAGTCTTTGTGAAGTGGGGCGGGAATGAAAAAAGATCTGAGATGGCACAACAAAGAAACGATCTGAAATAGCGGACAAGGCATATGTTCATGTGCTCAAACAGTTTTGTACAGGCCGATTTCTTCCGGACAAGTCCAAAAGGCGATAGATTTAAGTTTAGTGAATTCAGTTCTGTTTGTATCCTGCCTCTCCTGTTGGCGGAAATCGGCACACCAACTAAACGCTGGCCAGATCGGCACTCTCACTGATGGAGGTTTGAAGTCGGCCTGAATAAAAGCGAAATTGCTGGTCTTCAGCCTAGTAACACAACCCAATTCTCGACGTAAGCAGCAACGCTACGCCTTGCCTTGCTTTGTACCTGACGTATTCCACTCCAATGCCACGGGAAGAGGTGAGGTAGGCCAGAGGTAAGCAGGCAACACGCCAACTAACAACGGCATAGCTAGCAGATGCACCCTACCGGCACACATCAGATCGGTCAAATAAAGTTAACATGGCCCTAGTTGTATCGGCGGCTATGAATATGTATATAAATGTATGATGGACACTGATAAAAAGTGCAAAATTTAACCTTTTTTGGTAGACAAGAGGGATAACTAGAAGACGATGGGTAGGCTTTCTCATGTGTTCAATTCAATCGAATTGGGAATCAGTCTGTTCAACTAATGATGATGGCCATCAGCCTAAACGGACAGATCCTCCCAGCCCTATCATTCCATTTTTAGGTATGAGATTGAAAAGTGTGCTATAGTTGAGACTCCCAATTCGACGGGAAACTTTAAAATGTTTATTTTTCGTTTATAAGCAGGTCTTCGAGACTATCAGTAGATAATATATATGAGATGGATTCACCATATTTCGTTTAGGGTTATAAGGTGACGATGATATGAGTAGACCTTATTTTTTCATTCAGTTACCCATAGCCTTGTTTTCTCAAAAAGTATTTTCATCCTGGATGGACTGCAGTTTTGGAAACCAAAGACCAATTAACATGATTGTAGGAAAATTCAACTACCAGTTCCAGAAATTAAGTGAATACATCTCAGTTGAATTGTTTGTATGCTTGAGTGTCTGCCTAGAGAGGAGTTAATGTCGGTATCCTCCGATTGAAGCGAGTCACTTGACTTTTGTCGCAGAAAGCATAGAAGAAGAGAGCCCACGATAGGAGGCAAGGAAAAAAGATAATTGGTGTCTTTTTTTATGTAAATTTATCCAGACCAGTCTATTCAAGATCGACTTTGCTATTCATACTGTCTGAGTCAAAGCAGACAATCATCGTGAGACAAATTAATCAAACTGCTCCCTTTTAACACTACTATTAATTAAAAGAGTAGCAATCGAACTAACTGAGTAGGCAAGATATTGACTGCCTGTGGCACACACAAGAAGTTGAACATGAACT